TGGACTTCTGGCAGTTCTCTGCTGATGTGCTGTTCCAGTCGTTTTTGGATAATCTTCAGCAGAATCTTGCTTGCATGTGAAATCAATATTGTTCTATAGAATAGAAATGGAATATTGTGCATCATTTAAAAAAACAATGACGAATTTGTAAAATACTACATACACAGCATGAATGAGTCTAGAGGACACTGTACTGAGTAAAATAACTCGATTACAAAAGCAAAGGTTTAAGACGCTTCTTAGTGTGATGAGGGGTGGGGAAGAGCAGAAATATAAGGTATAAACAGTGAACACTGTAAGAGATCAGGAAGAGAGGATTAACCTGACATGTAAGGAAGAACACACAATGTGAGTACCGCAATTAGCAACTTGGAACATGGTAACTATTCAAATAGGGACTGGGAAGGGGAGAAAGTGGAAAAAGAGGGAAGGGGGGAAAAGGCAAAGGTGAAGGAATGAAAAGATCATAGCGTGCTTGAAGAAAAAATATAAACCTGAAGCAAAATAAATTAAAATACTCTTGAGTTCCAAAAGCAAGGGAGAAAAAGAATCATTGTATTTGGAAAGCGAAAGGTCACTGGCGCCTCAAATTTTATATGGAGAAGCAGAGCGAGAGAAAAATTGGTAGAAGTGAGTGGATGGTACATGAGGAGTACGAGGTGGTGGAGCAGAGCGTAGTGACGATGGGCGTTTCTTTCAAGATTATTGTTTCTGGGGCATGTGAACGCGCAAAGCCCTAAATCCATAAACAGCCCCGCAGGGTCGCGCAGAATCTCCGGCCCGTGCAGAAGGCTCTGAGGGGGCGCGGCCTGAGGGCGGTGCTCTCCTCCCCCCGGGGACGGGGCGCGCACAGGGGGCGCGGCGTGTGGACGTGCTCTCCACACTTCGGGGGCGGGGCGCGCCGAGGTGGGCGCGGCGTGCAGGCTGCGCGTTCCACCCGGCCGACACGGGCGCCCGGGCGCGGCGCTGCGGGCTCTGGAAACGTAGGCGCGGCCAGAGCACTCCCCAGGCCGGGCCAGCGGGGAGCTAACGCCGCGGAGTGAGGCTGCGGGGCCCATATCGCGGGTAGCGCAGCGCCCACCGCGCGAGCAGCTTTTCACCGAGAATCCTCCACCGGCGTGTCCCCGCCGCAGCCCGGGTGGCGGAGCGCGCGGCCCCTCGCCATGTACACCTTCGTGGTGCGCGACGAGAATAGCAGCGTCTACGCGGAGGTCTCTCGGCTGCTTCTCGCTACGGGTCACTGGAAGAGGCTCCGGAGAGACAACCCTAGATTTAACCTCATGCTAGGGGAGAGGAACCGGCTGCCCTTCGGAAGACTGGGTGAGCCTTCCCCGTTTCCCGTTTCCCCGCCCCTAGGCTGCCTCGTCCTCTCGCGGCCCGCTGGGACCTGCGCTTTTGTTTTTAAGGTCATGAATCTGCCTCTCCTCCGTGTCCTAGGCCGATGGGTCCTTAAGGGCCCACAGCCATCGTCTTGGATGCCTTCTCTCCCCCAAGTCAGATTCGCTGCTGCCTCCTGACAACAACCTCCCCTGCATCCTCTGGGGACCTTCCCACCCACGCCCCCAAATCACGATGGTGGGCTGGACCGCGCAGAATGGGGCGAGGTTTTGCAGATCCGCTCCCAGAAGCTGGTCGGAGTCGTTAATAGCATGGTCCTGAGAAGCAGGTCTCTCTGAATGAGCCCAGACCAGGGACGGGCGAAGAGCATGGTGTCTGATTTTAGCTTCACCAGGCAGCACATTTTCACTGCTGTGTGTGAGGAGTGAAGATTTTGCAGGGGCCTGGGCTCGCCCTCTGCCCTTCATGTCCTCACCCTGCTTTCCTCCCTCCAAGCAGATTATCTTCACAGGATTGACACCACCACACCCACATGCCAGGCTGTCTGAAGGGCACCAGAGGAAGAGCTGTCAGGGTCATCTTTTTAAAAGATAGGATCCAAAAGTTGTGCGCAGCTTCTCCCATGGATCTGGTGTGACCCCATGACCTCACTGCAGTCCTCTGGGAAGCCAGTGTCCTGTCAGAATTCGGCGGGGGCGGGGCCACCTTGCACCACCAAAGAAGAAATTGATGAGGAAGGCAACTCCAAGTGATCAATGTTCTATGATCAGAAAAGGAATTTTTATAAATAAGTGTGGTCAGAAGTTAGAGAGGCTCAGTGACCTAGGATGGAAAAGAGAGTATTTAATAGCCCTAGGAATTTGCCCCCCTTAGGAAGCTCTGGTGGCCTAGGGGGTAAGGAGTTGCACTGCCAACATAAAGGTATGCAGTTCAAGTCCACCTGCTACACCATAGCAGAAAGAAGGGCAATCTCTTCCCGAGGGATTTACAAGCCTTTGAAAGCCTCTTGGAGGGTTATAAGTCAGGTTAGACTCGATGGCATAAACAGCTCAACTAGGTCGTGGATCCATACTCATAGTGACCCTGAATGTAAATGTGCCCCACTGTGTTCTGAAAGGGAGCAAATGGCCTCTGACCTTTTGCCTGTGGAGGGGCTGACTGGTGGATTAGGGCTGCCGACCTTTTGATTAGCAGCCCAGTGTTTAACCCAGTGTACATCTTACAGTCACGTCAATAGTGGTGAATTTTGGGGTTTTGAGGCCAAAGAGCATTTGGATGGGGCATAAAAGAGGGTATTGTGGGGTAACTTGGGCAAATTTGTTTATCTTTGGAATGGTAGGGGATAGGACTTTTCATTGTTATACAAGTTTGCCCCTGCAGTGAGGAAAATGGACCTTGGTAGTTCTTTGATGCAAGGTGGTGATGACGTGGAAAGGCCTATCTATTCTCCTAGAACTTTCCAGGTACAGGGAATGTGCCTCGAGATTCCTTTTTATTAAACTTTCTCAAAAAGCCTCCTCCCTCGGAGGAGCAGATAACTTATAGAGCAAAAATGTGTTTTCTTCTTGCTCTGTCCATTTTTCTTGCTTTCCTCCTCTGGCTTGTAAAAGTTTGGGTAGTGGTTGTTCTTGTTATGTGCCGTGGAGTCGTTTGACTCATAGCGACCCTATGTACAACAGCCCTAAACCCTGCTCTGTCCTGTGCCAATCGCACTGTCTCTGACACTCCCATCCCTATTACCCCAGTCACTGAATCAATGCACCTGATAGAGGGCCAGGTAGAATCCTGATATTCAAAATATAGCCCAGCCTCTCAGGGTTGAAATGGGAAATAGCCGATGCTGCCGTGGTGCGCTGGCCTAGAGAGAGAGAGCAGACCCGTTGTGGGCGTGGTTCTGTCTCACTATGACCGTCCACAACACAGAAGAACAGCTCAAGGTGCCTAAGACAGGAATTTTTATTTATAGACTGCCAGCCTTATAGTTACAACTCAGTGCTTACCCACCTTGCCACCAGTGCTCCTGAATATGGTGGATAGTAAGAAATGTTGGCGTTTTATGGGGAAAGTCTCACAGCACATACAGTTTTATGCCTGCAACATTGGATATTTACTTTTGTATTAAAAAATGCATTGTAGAAGAAGTTTAAATGTGAGGCATGTCCATCTCAGGAGACAGCAGTGCTTAAGTTTGACAGCTTGCTGTTTTCAAGTGATTTTTTTAATTGTTATTTCTGATATCTTCACCTCAGACTTTACTAGTTTGGTCTTATTTTGATTCCTGTTATTGAAGATGCAATACTTTTTTTTTTTTTTTTGGAAGTGTAAACAAAAGCTGATGCCTTTAATTTGACTTGTTAGAAGAAAGGGTACATGCGGTGCAAATTCCTTGCCCTTCCAGAGAATGCATAGAAAATTCTCAGTGTTTCTGATTGTGTAGGCCTGGCCTCCCCACCACCTTCTGTCTCCTGCTAGTGGCTCTCCCAGAAGCTTGCTTGAGAGGTAGACATATGTAAGGACAGTAATTTGTATGTCTGCTACCTTCGTCTATGTGACGTTAAAGATGTGAAAAGTATGACTCACTTAAAATAGACTTACTTTACAGAGATTACTGATAAATCCATAGGTGGATTTATTAATCCGTTGCCCGTAAGGGAAAGAATGATGGGAATCAGAGAGTGGTGTAATATAAAATACTCCTTCAGTCTGAATAAGAAGAAATACAAGTGGTGGAGTTTGACAGACTCACAATGCTTATGTTACAAAAATCCATTGGGGAAGCATGAAAATTAGCAATGAGATGCTGAAACACAGCTCCTTTTCTAACAACTCATCCAGAAGTGGGAGAAAGAAAGACAGAGTGTAACAGCTGTTTTCTCTTTTGCATGCCAGCATGGACATTGTCCTTTATTCCTTCTGAGCCACCTCTTTCCTTCATAGGTTATGAGCCTGGGCTGATGCAGTTGGTGAATTACTACAGAGGGGCTGACAAATTGTGTCGTAAAGCTTCTTTAGTAAAGTAAGTGTTCTTTAAGACCTGAATTCTCAATTTTTTACATAAAAATTCTTAAACTTTCATGCTGAAGAGTTTAAACAAAAATGAGGAATTTTAAATGGCAAAAGTATTTAAAAGCAAGCAAATGCTTGTTCTGTAACTTCCTCTAAGCCACGTTGATTATTGTTGTCAAGTACCATCTTAATCGTCTCAGACTGACACAGTAGATGCAGCAATAGACACCCATCTTTTTGAGGGTCCTCCTTACTTTCACTGACCCTCCACTTTTGCAAGCATGATGCCCCTTTCCAAGTAATAGCTCCTCCTAGCAGCATGCTCAAAGTATGAGAGGCAAAGCTTCATCATCTTTGCCTCTAAGGAGCACTCTGGCTGCACTTTTTCTAAGACATGTCTGTTTGTTCTTTTGGAAGTCCATAGGATATTCAATATTCTTCCTCAACAGCGTAACTCAAAGGTATCAATTCTTCAGTCATCATTATTCATTGTCCAGCTCTCAGATGTGTAAAAAGTGATTGAAAAGACAATGGCCTTAATCAGACACACCTTAGTCTTTGAACTAACATCATTGCTCTGTAGTATTTTGGAACTGTCCCTGACAGCCAACTTGCCCTAAGCAATACTTATGTCTCCTGACTGCTGATACCAAGGTTATTGATTGTTGGTCCAAGTAAGATTAAAACATTGACAGTTTCAATCCTTTCTTCTTCTATCATATTGTTGCCTTTTGGTCCAGTGGTGAGTCCCTTGTTTTCTTGATGTTGAGATGTAATCCAGATTGAAGGATGTAGTTCTTGATATTTTGGAGAATGGTTTCAGCAGCCAATGTTGTGTCATCTACGTAATGCACGTTGTTGATGAGTCTCTTCCAATCCTGATGTCACATTCATCTTCAGAGAGTCTGGCTTGAATGAGTTGTTCAATGTAAAGATTTAATAGGTATGGAGAAAGGATAGGACCCTGATACACACCCTTCCTGATTTTAAACCATGCCGTGTTCCTTTGTTCCAGTCCATCTGTAAAATGGGGACAGTGAGTAACACTCGCCTGTGGTCTCTAAGTAGCATGTGACATGATCTGACTTAGCACTTTATTAATGATGATGTATGCAGGCTAGAGCTTGTTATTAGCATAAACATCATTCTCTCAGATGTCTTATGGAAGGAACTCTAGTAATTCCAGAAGTAATTCCCTTTGGCATTTTTTTTTCTGTCTTTAGTAATTTGTATAGGTTAAAGGACTCTAAAGAGCTTTAAAAAAAAATCTCATTTTAGCTGAGAGAGCTAAAATGCTGGCGCAGAGAGGTCAGTCAGGTGCTCATGGACCATCCAGAAGTCAGTGTTGAATCAGGATGATTCTAATCTCTGCAAACAGGATCATAGACAGTGTGGCCAGGAGTCCCTTGGGCAGATGTCTAGAGCATCCAGGAGGCTGTGCAGCCAGCTGCATTCTCCTGTCATGTCACTTGAGGGAGTTGCAGAAATTCATCGAGACCCCAAAGCCCTTCTCTCAGACACCTGAAGTACCTTTCTTCCCCTGATTCAGTTTGGAGGCCACCTGTTAGAGTATTTCTTCCTTCTAGTTATAGTGACTAAATCTCCCTTTGTGATCACCCTCAAATGGGCTTAAGTGGAATAGAACAAGTGCAAGGTCTTCCTGCAGAAACTACCCGTGTTGGCTCAGTACAGACCAGATTGTTTCCAAATGAAAGTCATCATACAGAGCAGTTCTTTCCAGTAGAAATAGAGAGGTGCTCAAACATTAAAAAAAAATAGTGGAAGTTATTTCTAATAGTATATTTTATTTAACCTAATAAATCTGAAGTATTATCACTTTGATATGTAATTAGTATTTCAAATTGCATTCTAATCTAAATGAAGAAAATGCAAGACAGACAGTTCATATTCCTTTGGATCCAGACTTTCGAAGGAGCAAAGGAGGCTTGGCGAGCCCCTGAAGCTATTGCTCTGAATCTTAAACCAAAAGTATCCCCTGATGTCTAATTAAAATCAAGTAACAGTTTGATTTGAGCATTTTGTTTCTTATTTCTATGGGATCAAGCTGACAGTAGCAACTCAAATGATTATTTAGGAAACTCTGAGTTTGTTGATAAGAACAGAACAACTTGGAAGAGGACAGTCAGAATGATTACACAGCTTAAAGAATAGAAGTGGCATCACTGAGCTATGCCTGTAGAAGTTGTTGAATTGATAGGCATTCTAGGGGTAGTCTGAACAGCAAAGAAATGGGGTAAAAGTAATTTTTAAAATATATAAAAGTAACCAATGAGACTGGACATTTTTATTTTTGAGTCATCAAACCTGTTGTTTCACATTTACAGCACATGTTTATTTAGATACTAAATTTTCACTGCAACTAACTTGATCTAAATTTAGATTTCATAAAATTTATGGTTGAAAAAGCAGGTTGTTTACAGGTAAAAATATTGCAGGAATTAAATACAAAAAAATTCATCATCTTCTCGTACTTAAATCTGTATTGGCAGAACCAGCTAGCCAATTTTTACAATAATTCATTTGTCTTTGAAGCAAAACCATATAAATTTTAAAATTACATCTTTCAAAGTTAAGTAAATTCACCCACACTATGTCACCTCAGTAATATTACTATAAAATTAAGGTATGTATTAAATAAATGAAAAAGCAACTCTAAATTTATTAATATCAATAAAGCATTCCAAAAATTTTCTTTGGTTTTTGCAATAAGTTTGCAAAAGGGTGTTATCTTTTCTGCATACTGAGTCATGTTAGGAAAATGTATAAGTCATGATTAAATGTTTTGTATTGTAAAATTACAACATAAATTCTCATACTTGTCTATCCTTTCTCTGGACTTTTTAATTTTTGTTGTTCATGTATCAGGTGCTTTTTTTTAAATCTTTGATTATTGACTAAAGTAATAAATTATCATACGAAAATAATAGTTTAGCAAGTATCTCTTTTATTTCAAAGAAGTCTGAATTGGAGTTAACAGTACTGTATATCTTTGTACAACTTTTCCATGACTTTATAATCACTGGCAAAAGATACAGTATCAATATATTCATTGTCTTGGGTTTCTTTCAACAGTCCCTTAAACGGATGAGTCATTGTAGCATTGACAAATATGTACTAAACCATTTTAACAATTGAATGCATGGTACTTTTCCTAAGAGTCTACTTCAGTAAACAGAGCTCCAGTATTACAAAAATATATCACACAGTGGAATGAAGCAATAAGGGGACTACCAGTCTCTTAAAATCCTAGTATATCTGCATTTTTAAGGTAACCTAACTGAAGCACTTGCTTTTCATTCCCAAATTGTGATAGAAATAAATTTATTTATATATAGATAAAATTATTCTTTTATATATAGCTAAAACTATTCTTAGACAAGTAAAAAAGATTTAAAAATATCCATATATCATGAGTTTCATATTTTTAGGCTACAATTTGCCAGTATTCATGTGATTTTAAGTCCTTTGAGAAAAAATATACCTAAAATATTGATTGGGTGGTGTTTCTTATGCCACATAACTCATCTAAAGATACAGGAACTACTTGCAATTTCCAAATTTTGAATCAGTGTGTCTTCGATATTGTTAGAAAGTCTTACACTGTGAGCTCTTAAGACTTGACTATCTTTTACTTTTGATAAGATAATATTTTTTGGTCTTTACAATTTCTTCTACTATCTTTGTATCTAAATTTGTTTCTTTTTTAATAAAAAAATCTAAGTCATTCTTTGGTTGATCAGAGTTACAAAGTCAGATCATGTTGGCAATGTTTAAAATATCTTGCTGCAAATTTAGTTCTGGTTGTAGACCACTGATTTTATTGATGAGAGGAAACTACTTATTCAATTCTCTCTGCTGAAAATAACCAGATCCCTTTCTGCTTTTGCCGTGCCCCATCACGTGGCAGTTGTCATTCACTGTACTATTTGTAATGTACCTTCTTCTGGTCTTTTTCTTTTTTCCCCCCTTTCCTTTTTCTTTTCTAGTTGTAGTCTCAGTTTTTCCATCTTCTCAGCATCCTACATCA